CTGGCCTGGGCCCAGCAGCTTCCGGAAGGCCCCAGGATGCTGTCTGGATGCAGCAGCTACTGGGCTGCTGGGCCTCGTTCGGTTGGGCGCCCAACTGTCTCTGTATGAGGCTGCGAATCAYGYCSAGGGCCTGCATTCTTTGGAAAGGCCCGGTAGGCCGTGGAAATGTCTTCGGTACTCGGCCTGTGTTTCTTTCAACCAACTGGCGCGTCGCAACTGCCTGGACCCCAAATATGAAATTGACAGTCGAGGGCCTCTTGCAAAAAGCCACGCCCGCCTTCACTTAGGGCGGGCACCTCTGCCTTCACTTAGGGCGGGTAAGGCTGCAGACAGGGCCCAGTAGGCCTACCGAGGACACTGATCCTCGCATTTGGACTGTTGGGTGAAGCAAGGAGAGAGAGGGCCAAGTACACAATGACTGCTCTCTTGTCCTCTCAGTCAAACAGAAGAAAAACTTTTGACTGCTGGCAGTTCTACCAGCTTTCGGTCAACCCCCTTTTTAAATAATTTTGTAAAATTCCTGTAGTACCTGGTTCTGGGCACTTGAGGCGATCCTTGCTGGCAAGTGTCATGGTCCGCCCAATCAGCATTTCTTTTTCTTTTTATTTTTGGGAAATCAGCATGAATTTGGGGGTGCCTACCTTGCAGGACGATGTGGTGGATAAATCCACTTGAGCAGTTCATACCAACTTCATACGGTGACTCAAACGGGCGGCCCAAAAATAAGAAATGAAATAGTATAATGGTATGTGGAAACGACTTTGATGTGTATCTGGCTAGTTTTATTTTTAATCGTTCTCTTTGTTCGGGAGTGCAATGTGTCGTCCGTTCATACCTGTAGCCGCCTCACACTCTTTTTCCCTTTTTCTCTCCTTTTTTGGAAAACCACATGAGGTTGCTAGAGGGGGGTGGTATGATGAGCATATCCCTCTCCAGCAGCCCTGCCGGTCTATTGGTTGTGCCAATCTGTTGGTGGGGAGTGTCGCCTGCTGGAATGCCTCACACTCTTTCCTTTTCTGTTGACACCAACAACAGGGCACTGAAGTGGTTGGGCCCAATGGCAGAGTCCATTGTTCGTTAAACATCAATACGGAGACAGGAAGGCTCTCAGCACGGCGGCCAAATTTACAGGTGAGAATGAACTTTTTATGAGGTCCCCCAGAAATGCTGCTGCGGCGAAGCTTTGACAATACTCTCTCTAGCTTGGGTACATTAGGATGACAAGGGCGTCTGAATGGAAGGAGAAAAAGAAGAAAAAAAATGACGAGGGCGTTCTCCCTCTTCCAAACTCACTAGCTGGAGGAACTCTGAAAATGATGAAGTGATATTAAATAATAAAATTCCTTGTTCTCATTTATTTCCATATTTTGATTGTACAAATGAGAAGTTCCTATGGTGATTCAAACGGTCGCGCCAAAAAAAAGATATAAAATAGACACAAGGTTTTCATCATGAGCATCGTGCTTGCTTGGCAGTTATTCAGCTTTCTGCAGAGAAGGGGGTTCTCAGAAGCCAAATGACAATGTGTACCTCCTCTTCTCCCTCCTCCTCCTCCTCCTCCTCCTCCTCATTGTTCCTCAATCGCAATGACCATCCACTTGGGTCATCAGCATCACCCCTTCGCCCTTCCCCCCTTCCCCCCTTCCTCCCTCCCTCCCTTCCCGCCTTACCCCCTTCCTCCCTTCCTCCCTTCCGCCCTTCCTCCCTTCCACCCTTCCATCCACTTGGGGCATCAGCATCACCCCTCCTCCCTTCCTCCCTTCCTCCCTTCCTCTTTTCCTCCTTTCCTCCTTTCCTCCCTTCCTCCCTCCCTCCCTCCCTCCTTTTCGCCCTTCCGCCCTTCCGCCCTTCCGCCCTTCTTCCCTTCCACCCTCCTTTCCTCCCTTCCGCCTCTATGCCCAAACCGCTTCTACAGCTGGACAAGAAATCAGACTAGGTAGGTTTATATCTGTTCAAGCAGCTTTCACTGAGTGTGTGTGCAAGGGAAGTGAGACTAGTTTTTTTTTTCCGGGTGTGCAGAAGATCCTGGTATTGGGAAACAGAGGCTCAGAAGTCATGGTGGTTTAAGAACGCGCAAGTGTCCTCTACTTGCGTATATATCTTTGCCCTCAGATTCACGTTGTATGTATGCTTGTCATCTTTCTATGTCGTTCCATTTTAAATTTTTAAACGATTTTCTTGTTTTGCAGGTAAGCCATAATTTAACTTTTGTGGCGGGCGTGTGCGTGTTCCCTGTCTTCCTCTTCTTCCCCCCCCCCTCTTCCTTGTGATTGTCCTGTCTGCAGAATCAACCTGCATTGGAGAAAGATAGGTACAAGATCAGGAAAGCGTTTGTGGCGGCACCTGGTAACTCGCTGATAGTTGCAGATTATGGGCAGGTCTGCTCAAGTTTCTGGTTGGGGATTTTTCGGTTTTGTTTGTCCTCAAGAATTTATAACAACTTTACATAGACCTACATCTTTCAAAAGACGAGCAAGTGAACTCTGTTTTTTTTTTCTTTTTTTTTCTTTGAACAATATTCTGGGCCGGTCTGTTTAAGTTCCTGGTTTTCCTCAAAGAGGTGACATAGACCTACGTACGTTTATGAAAAGACAGCCAAGTGAACAGAGTGAGACGGAAGGGTGAATGAAAGTTATCGAGGCGTTAGTTCTTGCTAACTTCTTGGATTCACGGCGGTTGCCCTCTCTATCGACAACCCTCTATGGGCAATGCTCTTCAGTCGCATGACAAATTTCTCAAGCTCATGAAGTATCACATTGGATAGAAGAGGGTCGAAGGGCTGACCAATGTGGGCATCATCTGGTGTCCGCGTCTTTTTCACTGCAAATTTCTGTACGGCAGTTTTTCTGCTTCACATGAGAGAGAGAGACAATATTTTCTGTTGGGGATGTGTCTGTTCATGTTCGGAGGTTGTGGACGAGGATGTGAAGTAAGAAAGGTGGGTAGGAATGGTTGGGAGGTGGATTGTTCCCCGACCTGACATCCTGATCGGATGGATTTGGAAGATGCTCAGGAGGTGTACGGCAGTTTTTCTGCTTCACATGAGAGAGAGAGAATATTTTCTGTTGGGGATGTGTCCGTTCATTTTCGGAGGTTGTGGAGGGGGATGTAAAGTAAGAAAGGTGGGTAGGAATGGTTGGGAGGTGGATTGTTCCCCGACCTGACATCCTGATCGGAT